TGCCTTGCCCCGGGGCAGAGCCCGGCTGCTCGGTGCCTGTTCCCGCCTCCCCCCCCCCCTTATCATCCTTCTTCCAGGCGGAAACTTTAACGCCCCTTACACCTCCGAGGCTATAAAGACGACGGTCGGAATGAAAAAATACCCCCCAAAAAATCCGCCTCTCTCCTCACACCTTCGCCACCCAGGCCCGTGGAAACGGGGGAGAGGGGGAGCAACCTCCCACGACCACCCACGTTAAAACGCGAGTGGACTCCCCCGCATCCTCCCCTCCAGGTAGGCCCGGGCAATAACTCCCCCAGGGTCCCCCTTCAAAGGCTTGTGCGAAATGACTTTCCGCCCTTCCCCTGCTCAGCATCTCTTTTCGCTGCTCCCCAGCGCTCCCTGTTTTTAGGTTCGGGAGCGATTCCCGCACCGACGCCTTTATCAAGGGAGAAGAGAGAGGGACCGAGAGGGAACCCGGAGGGTCGCCGGGCACCCTCCAGGTTTGCAGCCGCTCCGAGCCCGGCTCCTCTCGGCGAACACCGCCGGAGCATTTCGCTTTTCATCCGCCTTTCACCCGCTCCAACGTTTATAGCTAAACAAGTTCACAGTTTACACACAGTAAAACGTCGATATCGCGCTTAATGGTTACGGAGAAAAGGCTCTTCGCAGGGATCCTCATAAAAGCCCTTTATTTAGTTTCGAGCATTTTCTCGTAATCAATAAAAGTTGGCTGTTATCTCCCGGCGCATTTAGCGGGGAAGTTTATTGCCTGCCGGGCGGACGAAGGGCGAGACAGGAGTGCACCATACAAGGAACGGACTCCCGAGTCCCTAGATCCGAGCCTCGGATTCGTAAAATATAACCATCCATTACATTGCCGATATCTGGAGCCAGCAAATATATACAGACTATAAATTGTCGCCGGCGGGGTGCGGGCCGGCCGCGGGCGCGGGGGCTCCGCCCGCCCGCATTCCTCCCCGAGCCGGGGGGGCGCCGGGGGGGGCCCCGGCCCATCCATCACCGCCGTTATGATTCTGCGATGCAGCAAATGGGTTGTGTAAAGAGGCAGCGTTTGACAAGGTGGCATGGTTATCCTGTCCAAATGATGCATAATATTAGTATTAGGGCTTAGATCATCGCATGCTTTTAAAATCATCACCGCTAACTGGGGGGGGGGGGGAGTTCTGGGGGCTGCAGGGGGCAAAAGTTTCCATGTAGATAATGATTATAGATGGTGGGATTTATGGGGAGGGGTGCGCGCACAAATAAACACGTCTACTGTAGCCGGAGGGAGGGGCCCGATCCGGCCGGTGCCGCGGAGCC